CCACCACCACCATCTGGATATGAGCAACAGTGACCCAGAAAAGTAGAAGCGGTTAAAATAATGTATGGTTGGTGTTGATGTGTATACAAGATATCATATGTCAAAGAAAAATCATGTGAGTAAACTGTTATTTTAATGTATCTGAAGTGATGCTTTATTTTCCACATAATGAAATTATTCCCAGCATGCATTGGGAGTGGCTGGTCAGTCACAAAGCTGTGTGTCTGTTTAACACTTGTTTTGTTTAGTGTGCCTAATTCCCCAAAATTCATGCAGCTGACACAGTTACATATACTTTGTTCTGTCCTGTGAATCTGACTGCTTGTATTTACTGTATTCCTACTTTTATTCATTTTGTTTAGTTTTTGAGGATGATACAAAGAAAGCCGTAGTGACATAAAAAAGGTTGGTAAATAGAGCAGTGAAGGGTGGTCAGTTGAACCTTTTGATGTGTGGTCATTAGCCTCAATGAGCCCAGAACCTCCTCACAGGGCCTGTGTGTAATGGAGTTAGTCTGACAGATGGTCTTGTAACAAAGTGTGTCTGTGGTGCTGCACCTGTATATATTAAATCAGAAATAACCATAGATCTTACATATTAAGAGTATTTTGTAGGTTTTTTACTCTGTTCTATTTTCTTCAATATATATATAAATATAAATTACACAAATGTCCTCCAAGTAGTAAGCACTGAACTGTGACAGAGACCAAAAATTAAAATAACTGAAACTCAGTACAGAAAAATGAAAACTACAAAAAATAAATAATAATAATAATAATATAAAACGTGTCTGAAATATGCAAAATTTCTTGTTTCATTGTTAACTTGTCCAACACCATGACATGCTTCGCTGGCTGCAGTCACTCAGGAGAGAAAAAAAGAAAAACTTTATGATACTGCAGCTGGAAGGACAATATTTAAAGGGGACACTTTGTGCTAAATCCACTTTTTTAGCCATTAAATACAGGTTGCTGTGTTCTTGGAGCCTCTAGGAGTACAGAAAAGTTGAAAGTAGTCTCTCCTGGTGATGTAAAGATATCTTTATATTCTGTTTGGGTCATATTTTTCAGCCTGTTCAGTTTTCTCTATGACGTTTTTTTTAAACTATTACCTCAAATTATTTGTGGCGAAACTTCAAAATAAGGTGTAGACTTACCAACTGCTATTTCATCATCCTCATTCTCCTCTGAACCTCTGCACGACTAGATAGTGGTAAACCCCCTCTCCCAAACTGGAGTGGACCCCTCTGAAAGCTGGGGTGGGGTGTGGTGAAGCACCGTGTTTGGATTTAAAGAAACAGCATCAAAATGAATTGATCTGAGACACAGAAAAGTGGTGAGAGAGGGGCTTGTGGAGTTACAGTGAGGAGTAAGACCAAAGTATTGCAGTTGCACTGATACTGTATGTCCACTTTAATTCATAAATACTGAGTATTTTAGGGGCACCTTCTGAAATGTGAGATGGGGGATGGATGGGTGTGCTGTTGATCTTGGGATCACTCACCAAACAAAAAGCCACAACAGAACTGTACAAGTTTTATAATGCTGCTAGGATGCGATGGGGATGACTCTCAGCTACTGCCACATAAAATCTGAGCACAGTAGCTGTAAAATTGACTGAGTTTAGAGCCATTCTTGTGTTTACTAAACTTCATTGTGGTAGCCATCATGAGTTGTAGTGGTGGGCACAGCTAACCAAAAAGCTAGCTTTATTAATTCATAATCTGCTAACTAATTAGTAACGCTAAACCTCTGAACATGTCTTTATCTCATTCTGAGTTTTTGAGTTATAAGCTATTTTGCATGTCCTGACACCCCCACTTTGAAAGGAGCCCCCTCCTCAAATATGGGGTCTATCGTAAAACCGTTGGCTGGCGCAGTGTAGTTCAGACTCATCTACAGTCCTGCCAAATTTCATGTTGATCGGTGCAGCCGTTTTTGTGGTACGGTTGACCAAAAATCACTGAAAAAATAAAAAAATAAACAGTACGAAAACAATATGACTCCCGCTTACGCGTCGCGTGTGGGGGTCATAATTATTAGTAATCACCATGATGTTTCAGGACCCACAACTTTGGGAACCACTGCTGGTCAGTGGAAGAGTGGAGGAAAAGAAACAAATTTAAACGAGGGTCGACCCAAAAGACCCTAGTCCCACCACCGGCCCTACCTTGGTTGGGCCCTTGCATAAAAATCCCAAAAATCAGACAATCAAAAATTCCATGTGACATAAAAACCTTTATCTCCCTTTTGGCAGATAAAAAAAGTTTAAAACGTTCTGTAGCCAACAAATCATTTTGTCGTGATTACAGTCTGTGTCACGCCGTCTTCCAGCAGGACCTTGAAGGCAGTATTTTAACTGTATAATTTTCTTTCTTTAGACTCTTTTGAATGCACGTTTTTATTCAGTCGCTTTAGACCACAGTCCTGAAACCAGCTCTTTTTTTCAGTTTCAGTTTCTTAACCTAATCATGTCGACTGCGTTCGTTTCCAACATCTTTTTTCGGTTCTCCAGATGCTGCTTTGCCTGTTTCACATGACGGTGAAAAAGCCGCACAGAAACATGTCTAAAGACTTTTGTTGCAAACCCTGTCCTAGCATTAATTCTCTTTTGTTAAAACTTTGCGCTGCCTAAATCTTCCACCTGTGTAGTGATGTGAGAGTCACAGACAGCTTTTCTACCCAGCAGAGATGCCACCAAATTATTTACTGTGCCTTTCACATTGACATTTTTTATAAATTGCAAATGGGAAGCATTATGTGCCATTTTATAACCTTCTCTGAAGAAACCAGTTAGCATATCTTTTGCTAAGCAGTACCGCAAAGTCTGAGAGTTTCTGATACTCTTTAATCACCTCATATCTGACAGCTTATCGCCATATTACATCATAAATGTTGAGGTTTTACCACTGACAAACTTTACCACAATGAAGAAAAAAGCAACAATTCATATCAGTTTTACTATTTTACTACTACTACTACTTTAATAGTTTTATTATTATTATTAATATTATTATTAGTTCCTAAACCAGGGGTGCCCAAACATTTTCCCTGAGAGGGCTAAAATTAAAATGGATCTGAGGGCTGCAGACCAAATGCGTATGATACATGAAATGCAAATGCTTCTTAAGTAAAATTGTTTTATTTTTCATGATTAAGCTAGCAGCTAATCTGATGGTCCACATTTTGTTTTTTCAGCCCATGGATGTGGAGAAAATTTGATGTATGCTCGGGCAGCAAAGGCTCATGGGACTTTTCATAAATTAAATTTTGAGTATTTATGGTTTTATAAAGTGTGCAAATTCGTGTGCTTATATCTAATCTTCATGTCTCTTGTATTATTGTATGTTGAATCTTAAAATAATTCAAAGATAAAGTGAGTTAAGTCTATCTGCACTACATCTTATATAGTTGGACCAATGGTTGAAAAGACTAAGTGGAAATATAGTGTTTCTACATAAAACAGGAGATTACAGCCTATTAGCAGGACAACTGCTGGTGGGCCAAATCAAATGGCTTGGCAGGCCAATTTTGACCCACGGCCCCACTTTGGGCATCTCTGTCTTAAACCATAAATAGCTACAATAATTTGGAATTTGTATGGTTCCAATTTTAGGTTTTCATATAGATAGTCATAAATATGACCTCAAAGACCTTATGAGACTTTTCATTCTCTCTTATTGCTTTCATCAGACTGAGCAAATGCCAAGACAAATAGGGCCACTTTAATTATGTGGAAGTCTTGAAAAGACAGAATAATCACGTTACCAGAAAACAAGTTTAAGAAGTTTGCTACCTTTCATACCAGTGTTTTAATCTAAAGTTGTTTTATGTAAAAAAAAAGTTTTGAACGATGTCCATTTTCTGCGCAGTGTCTGCTAGTTATTTTAGCATACGGCAGTGGAGGAAGTGAATGAAGCCAGTCTGTGTTGATAAGGCTCTCAAATTAAATTTAATTTGTCTGACAAAACAGCAGCTCTCATTTACAGTTGTCTCGTTTGGCTCGGTACTTCTCTCCTCTCAGTAGGGTTGTTTACAGTGCACGCAATTTCCGGTTAGCTTCTTAGCTTAGCCTTCTTCACAGTGGATGCGTCGTGGGATCCAATCATTTTAAACTTCAGCAGAGGCCATGCCTCCACCAAGAATCACTTCTCCATAGTTGAGAGTCCAGACCCTCATAATCGAAGGACAATTGAGGCTAATTCTCTCGTTGTATTATTGTCAAAGATTCTCAGCTGCTAATACATCAAACTTTAGGATGTGGAATTATGTGGAATAAATGTGAGCACAAATACGAGGAAATAAAAACAAGGATTTTCATTTACAATCAGCTTGTTTAGTAGCTTGTCGTCGCAAAAAGCAGAAACACGTTGGAATAATACCAGAAAAGTCTGTGTATATGATAATCAGATATGATTTAATTGTGTGCAACAAACAAACAGAACTGAATCAGGAAGGTTCTGCATGCTTGCAACTGAACGCGTCAGCAGAATACAGCCAATAACATAACATCATGTCAACACCATGTGACAGTTTACAACCAATCACAGATTGCCAAATGTACTGTCCAGCCTATCACAAGGCTCCCAGCCCAAAGAGTCTGTTAGAGTTCAGTCCATTGGAGTCGTCCGGAGCTATCAGAAAGATAAGAGTGATGGACAGTGTCAAGGGGAAACAGATATAAATAATTAGACCATGACATAGCTAATTCATGATAATTTACTTGGATAAAAAAAGGTCTGGTCTTATTTAGGACACTAAATTTATTGCAAAAAGGACTTTTTTGAACTTTACATCATGTTATAATGTCATTCTCTCATCAAAAACATATTCAGTGTTGCTTTGACTCATTCGTGCATGTTTGAGATATCCTTGAATCTCCTGTTGTAGCCAGGTGGAGCTGTCTAAACACTTGCTGTTACAAAGCTCCACCTATTTGTACAAAGCTCCTCCCTGGAGCTCAGTCTGCAGTAGAGATCCCGCCCCACAGAGCACCCCTCCCACAAAGCATTGTTGTGAAGTGCTGAAGTGAGACTGTCAGAAAACGGTGGTTCTTAAAGAGACAAAGGCCAATTTCAAGGCATTTAAATAGACTATGATGCAAAGTGAAATACATTTTTGATACAAACAACTTTTTTATAACAACTGAAGTTAACATTGATTGTGGTGTAGAATGTGTGCCCGGAAAATACATATTAGCCACCATCTAAGGAACCCTTAACACAAATCAGGTGTGGCTCTTGGTTCCTGTGGGTGGCCCCCTGGGTGGGGTGGCTGCTGGGTTCCGGGGGGGTGGACGGCTTGGGGGGTGCACTTGGTCGCTGGTGGGGTGGTGGGGTAGTCATGGGTGTGGCTTCTCTGCAGCGGGGGGCCTCTGGACCTGTCAGGCTTTGGCCTGGAGGGGGTGCGCCCTGGGGTCCCGGACCTCTGTGCCCTTTCCTGGATCTGCTCTGGTATGGCGGGTGCCGGTGTGGCCCATGAGTTTGTCGCTGCTGGCCCCGGGGGCTGTACGTGTGGTCACTGGGGGGACTCTCCCAGTTCTCCCCTATGGTCTGATCTGGGGGGTGGATGGGCGGATCTTCCCGTGCGGGTGCCCCTTGGGGCTCTGCGCTCGGGATCCCCCTTTATATACTGTATGTATGGGTATGTGTATATTTTTATATATGCCCTCCATRTATTTATCCATTTATTTTTCAGGTGAGCGGACAGATGTTGGGTGTGTGGGCCTGTGTTTTGTTGGTGTGTATTTAATATACTTCTAATCGCTAATTCAATCTTTCTATCTTTCTGATTACTTCTCTCTCTGTTTTTCTCTCTGTCTCTATTTTCTCTTCACTTAAAAAAGTCACTGATGATGAAGAAATAAATAAACTATATAAACTAATATTTGATTTAATTTTCTACTGAAGTGACACAAAAAATCTGTCAAAAAAATCAGGTCTGTATAACGACGTAAATTTACCGATTACATTTTTCCAATAGATTGTCATTGACTTCATCACTCAAAGTCAGGGGTTCTCGAGCCATTTGGATCTGGAGACCCCTTATAAGGGCGAAAAAATTCCAGGGACCCCCTCATAAACCCCATGCTTTTTTAAACGATAATTTATTGTAATTTCAACCCCTAAATGCCATGGGAATATATATTTTTCATCAAGTTGATTATGTTAGTTTTATTAGTTCATTGTTCTCCATACATTTTTTAAAAATAAAAAACAAATGAACAATTTAGTGACTTTTTTTGAGGACCCCCAAGATACCTCTCGTGGGCCCCTGGGGGTCCTTGGACCCAAGTTTGAGAACCTCTGCTCTACGTGCACACGTAAATGTTATACTTTGACATTAAAACTTGAAAACAGACTTATTTAAAGAAAAGTGCAGTTTTTATATCAACCACCTATTTGTATTAAAAACTAAATTAAATAAAATATCACATAATAAACTGTTATGACTCAACCTATGTAAATGTTAACACTTTAAAACTTGTATTTTGATATAAAAAAATCATTCTCCACGTGGTTTTCACCGCACCCTCACATTAGGAGTTGGGAATATCAAAGAAAATACAACAATAACCATCATCTTGTAATAAACTAAAGACGATTTGATGAAAGTAAAAAACTTCCAGGGCAGGTTTGTAACCGGATTCTGGGCTGTGACGTTTGAGGACATGATTGGTGGCTGGTTCCGCTATATATCCGTCAGGCTTCACTCCCACCTTCTCGCCAGTGGAATTTCATCTCAGCTTCTGCACCTTCAGGGCAGACGAGAACAAAAAAAATAAGTAAGTAATTTCTTGTTTTGTGCTTTCCTCCCCACAGAACTCGAACCTCTTCCTGTTTTTACACGACTTTGCCCGAACGCGTTGTAAGTCGCACGGGTACTCGTTTGTCGGACGGCTTGTTTGCGGACCGTGAACGTTACATTATGTTCTGGCCTGACTCCGTGTCATTTTAACCCGTCTCAGCTGTGTGCCTACGTGGACTTGGCGAGCAGTGGTGGATGCTAGCGTTAGCTCGCTAGCCGCGCTGCTCCTCAACTTTTACTCGGCGTGCTGGTGTTGAATAAACCCCATATAAACGGTAACGATCACAATCTAAGCGTGTGGGAGGAATAATCATAAAGTTCCTGCTTTATACAAACTGAGCGCGAGTGCTATAAACAAGTAAACGTAGATTTTTAAGTTCTTGGAGCTATTTTTTTTAAAGTGACACGAGCTAACTTAAATTAGCCAAAGAGCTACGTGTCACACAGCCGCCTCACAGACTAGTTAAAGTTTTTAGCAAGTTTGCTAACAAGCTAAAGAAGGATTTTGAGCTTTTACTCCACCCTGACGTGTATTTATTTTTGTACATCACACACACGTTTTGAAAACGCACATCTTAAACATTATCTGACTGTCAGAAAGCGACATTATGTTTGTCTGAGTGTATTTAAGTTTTTTTAAAGCTAAGCTAGCAGCAGTTAGCATTATTCGGGAATGTGTAGTTAGCAGCTGTCAGCTAGTATCTTATTAGCTGGCTACTTAAGTCTGCAAAATGGGATTTGGAGTTGTAATGAGGGGGGATCTCACTAGCTTGTCAGGTTGCAAGAAGGGAAAAAAATCGAGTTAAAACATCTTAATAAAGCAACTTGTTAGCAGATCTTTTGCACGCTGTCAATTGCGTTAAATTAATTTAATTCTCTTTATTTTTTTTTCCAGCCAAAAATAAATTTCTAATCATTTTGTTCGTTTTAACATGTATGACAAAGCAGCAGTCCTGTCGAGATGATTTAAGCCTAACTTTTTGACACAAGTCAACTATAATTCAGTGTTTTCTTTTCCACCATTTCCATTGCTGGAGTTCAAAGGTGTCATTGCTTTTATATAATTTGTACTTGTTTGTTTCATTGTTTTACAGTTTACGGAGGCAGGAAATGACACATTACTATCTTTATATATCCTTTTTTATTATTTAACATAAACTATATAATCTGTATTCAGCAAATCTTGATAAAATAAAAGCTTGCTTATGTGTAAATCTTGACCCACTGAGCAAATTAAGATTAGCTACTATGACAAATGAAAATGACAATTCCTGCTCCTATTTAATTTGGCAGTCTTTTTCACAAGAACCTGTTTAAACCATAACAGTGTCGACAATTTATAAGCTTTTTTTATTATTATTTGTAGTTGCTTAATGTCTCCATTCAGAAGTTGAGCTTTATATTTTGAAAAGTAGCATCAGTGGTTGTCTGGACATTTCTGAATTCACAATTTTTGTTTTATTTTTATTTTTTCAGCTGGTTTGCCTTGCCTCTGTTTGGGAGCATTTTTTTACAGTTTGCCACAAAATCATAACTCATTGTGTGATTCAGAGAATTCCAACTTTTCTACACTGCTCAAAAAATAAAGGGAACACTTAAACAACGCACGCTAACTCCCGATCTTAATCAATGATATATTCGCATTGAGTACTTTTGTTCTGTACAGAGTTGAATGTGCTTCACAAAAGTTTGATTTACTTGGACTTGGCGTGCGTTGTTTAAGTGTTTTTTTTTTTTTTTTTTTGAGCAGTGTATTTTAACTTAGTTATTCAGTGAAAGTTTTATTTTTACTAAATTCTCCATCTTTCTCCAGGCAAAAGCTGGCAGGCTGACGGGGACTTGCATTTTACAGGACGGATTATCTGGTAACTGACCATTTAGCTGGTAAGCCTTTACTGTACTTGTTTACATTTGCAGTGAAATAATTTATTTTCTATAATTAAAACAAAAACAAAACAGCTGATTACAATACATCCTTAAAAAGTCTTAATTTGTTAAAACAAAAATAATTCGTATACATTGATTCAAAACCCAAGATGGATCGAACCATAAATGAGAAGGAGCAAAGAAAAGAGTCCCATCACATCTGCTCTCTTATCTTTAAAAATAAAATGCAACATCATTAATGACACTCTGATTCCAGCCTGATTAAATTGCAATATTTGCAAATAAAAAAAATAAAAACACAATCATGTCCAGCAACAGATTATATCACCGACTATCCCATATCATAATCTTTAGTTATTCAAAATATAAATTGTTCTGGAAGCTTTAGTATCAGAATGAAGGTTATTCCATGAACTTTATTCCTTGAACTGAAGTGCAGAGTTCCTACAAACCAGTTGTTTGAAAGCTTCATAGCGTTCACACAGAGAATTTTTTTTTTCTACTGTACGTTTTTCAGCATCTAACTTGTTCCACAATTTTTGTGCTATTTCAACATTTCATCTTTCAAAACGTTCAGCTCATTCATGTGAGAGATGCTATGACTTTTGGTATTTCAGCTTTTTACACTTTTTATAATTTTTTTTTTTAAAAGCTATTTCACTTTTTTCAGCCACTTTTTTGCCATTGAAAATGAATGGAGCTATTTTCAACATCCTGAAACTGCTTTAAAATGTTTCTAAATCTTTACAGAACCGTACGCATTTTGTTCTGGTTCTGCTCTTTTTCACATTCTTGTGCTAATTTGAGCTACGTTTTTGCTATTTCAGCAAAAATTCTGCCTTTTTTTTCTGCTAATTTCTGCAGTTTATGCTTCTTACAGATGCTTTCTGCTATATGCAGCTATTTGCTGAAAATTTAGCTAATGTTTAGCAGCCATTAGCTAAAGTTAGCTTTTCTAAGCTAAATATACATTTTTTGTAGCTCTTTAAAACTTTTTCTGAAAACTTAAGCAAACTTGTGCGCTCCTTATTATGCTAATTTAAATTCCAGCTACTTTTTAGCTGTTTTTTACTGAAAATTTCAGCTGTTTTAGCCATTTTGCTACTAATTATCACTTTTGTACTCATGCAATTCTGCTAGTTTTACCATATTTACAGCACTTTCTGTATCTGGGTGCTAATTTCAGCTTGTGGTTGCTACCTTAGTCTATTCTATGCTAATTTTAGCTTATTTATGCTACTTCAGCTATAGATCTGCTTCTTTCTGCTATGCTTTTGCTTTATTTTACTTTTCATGCCTTTTTTTTCTGCTACCTAGTGCTATTTATGCTTCCTGCAGATGTTGTCAGCTATATTTAGCTATTTTAGCTGTTTTCTGTTTTCAACTAGATGTGCTCCTTTTTTTCCTGCAATGTTAGTCTTTTTTGTTTCTTTCAGCTTTTCAATGTGATCTCACATGAACACCTTTTTACTAATAAATATTTCCAGCTCAATTTAAGCAGTTTTAAGTTTTCAGCACGAAGCGTTCACACTAGCATTTTCACAGGAAATGCAATTTCTCTAGTTAGAAATGACTTGGTGCTTGTTTTAAAGTGGCAGCTAATGTTTCCTTATAAGAAAATGACTAGCGCAGAAGAACAGTACTTATTCGAAACTGGCGTCTTTAATTTCAGGTAACAATAGGTAACTGGCACTGGTACAAGTCGTGTTCTTTCTGTTTGTGTAACTGGGAGGTGGAGCCCCATGTCATCTCCAACTACCGAAACTACTTTTTGTTCTCAAGCTCTAGGTCACCGCTTGTATAAAACTCTAATTAAACTTAAAAAAGCATGACTTTCTAATTATTGGTTCCATTGCTTAAATGTTCAGTCTTTGATGGTACGAAAGTCCAACTGAGCACAGCAGGCGTCTGTTTATAAAAGCTGACAAGGAAGAGGCCGCTGAGGGTTTTCTGTAAAATTAAAAGCTCTGGTGTGTCGAGGACGGGAAGGACGGACATTTAGTTGACAAAAGATGGAAATTCAGAATAGTTTCAGGCACTTTATAAAAAGATCCAGGTTTTAAATCAAGTTCAGCTTATTTAGTTAACCTAGAATTCCTCCACTAGGACACAATCGGAGAGTCCCTTTTTTTTTAGTTGTATCAAGTTTCATCAAACATTGAAGTAGAAACAAACAAGACAAAGCTCCCTTTCAGTTGCCACACTTTATTTACTTAGAACTGAAATGGTACTTGAGTTTAGAGTTCAACTTAACTTAGTTTTTTATGAACGATCACTGGAACAAATCCTCTTAACTCCCACTTTGATACAGTTCTTACACCACTGGACAGTGATGGGTGAAGACGTCTCAGTGTAGCTTCAACTCTGCTCACACAAATGTATTTTTTCTTTTTTTCTGGTACAAAGGTTTGTTCTATTTACTCAGCACTAGTTCTCAGCTTTCATCAACACTCTGTAGCCATCACTAATGTGACAAAGGTGATCATTAAGCAAAAATAGATAAGATAATAGAAGTTCGTTATGAGGCACCTGTAAGCCTGTTCATGTGACTCAGAATTCCTCGTATCTTATTTTCCAGTGAGCCTGTCGAGGCCATGACAAAACCTTACAGATACATTGATGGGGCTTTACTGATGCAGCACGTATACTTATCTGAAACGAGAGAACAAGGGCAAATGAACTAGATTTAAACATTTACTAACAGATATGATTATAGCTGACAAGTAAAATAAGTGGAGTTAAAGCTGGTTGAAAGAGGTCATTTATGTTGACAGATTTACAGAGGAGGGAAAATCTTGCAGACAGGCTGGGAGTGGACATCACCACTACCCACCTCCTCCTATCCAAGCCGGTGCATTTTATTCTGTCTCTCTTCCTCTGGCTTTATACAATAATGGTGGTCACACCTGTCGCTGCTTTACAATGTTTAGCAAGGCAGGGGGAAAAAAAACAACTTGCACACAGAAAAATCTGTTACATCTTTGGCAAACTTGAAGATCAGCTCAGTGCCCTGAGGGCGTCCTCGGGTGCTGCAAGCTGAAAGATGTCAGAAAACCAAACGGGGCATCCAAAAGATGGTCCAACGTCCCTCTAGCTTAAAGCCTGGAAAAATAAAAAACAAAGCAGGTGATACTTTTTAAACGGGCAATGTAAACCATCTGGGCTGAACTCCTCCCAGATTTCTGCTTTTTTACTCAACTTTACGTTAATTAAAAATACATTTTTGACTAGTATAACCCTCTTTTCTATTTATGTGGTGCTCTGGAGATGTGACTAAAAGTCTAAAGGTGTCTGCATCACAACACCACTTTCTAAAAACCAATTACTTGCGTGTATTTTTTTTAATGCTTCTGTGAATCCTGCTCTGTGGTATTTGTGAATATAACACAAGCTTTTCTTCCCAGTGGCACACTCGGACTCTGTGTTTAGTTTGGGATTTCAACCATGAGCTCAGTCGCTGTACTTACGCAGGAGAGTTTCAAGGAGCACCGCAGTGGGCTCCTGCAGGACAAGAATGGTACGTGTGTGACGTCAAAGGTTATGCTGGATTTATTGGGAGGGAATAATATTCAATAAATATTTGATACAGCTGCTGGAGGACCTGGGGCTGGAGAGGATGAGGAGGAACTTCCTACCTACAAGGATGCCTTCCCACCTCTACCAGAGAAAGCGGCTACACCTGAAGGAACCCAGGAACCTGTCAACGCTTGGACAAAGATTCGCCCCCTCAAGTCTTCTGTTATCACCCAGGTATAATTTTTTTTAAATGACATGCACACGCGAATGGCATGGAGGGGAAAGAAAGTAACTGAAAAGTCAAGGCTTCAATGATACCAGAGGTTATTGGAGGACTAAGAACTGAGACCCTCAGACTGGAGAGTTCCTCCAACAGACTTGAGGAACAATCTGAGAAATCTGTTTACTGATTGCTTTAGAAAATGGCATGTTATGCTATATTCACGTTTATACAGTGTCTATGGTGGTATGTTGTCAAATTAACATTACTGTTAGGGTGCAAGTTTTACCTCCAGACACCTTTTTTTTGACTTGCATTTTAAACAAGATAAATTTATTTGTATACACTATTAATGACAATGCTACCAAAATTATTCAAATTCCATGTGCCCTTTATTTTTAAATTGGCTTTTATTGTTGGCTGTTTTGCCAAAAATGTACAGTAATGCTAAATCCAGTAGTGTGGTTAGTGCTGATGTTGCTACAGTAGCTCACAACGTGATGTGACAAAGATGAACTCCAGCTGTTCTACATACCTCCATGTTTGTTGCTCTAAAGACAATTAGGTCATGTTTTCTAGATTGTGATCACCATTCATTCTGCAAAGCATGCAGTGCAGCCAAATGTTACATGATGCCACATATTTAATGAAACTCAACTGAAGTTCAAATTGTTGGCTCAGGCCTGTTGCATTCAACAGGGTTCATGTATGGTCTTGAAGTCTAAAATTTGTAAATTAAAATTTTAGGCCTAAAAAGTGTCTTTTCATCCAAGGTCTTAAATTTAATTTTGCCTAGTCTTAATTTTTGTTTTATTGTTCATTCCAGTTGGCTGCATAGAGTAAAGCGCTGTAATCAGAGGTTGACATGATCTGTCTTAAAGTGCAAAGTTTGCTACCGGTCTTGGTACGTGATTAAACTACAAATCCCGTGGTAACTGCAGTAAAAAAAAAATGGCACAGTGTACTTCCATGTTTTCAACCTCTTTGTTGCTACAACCCCTGACATACAGCGACTTGTTCACCCACCCAAAAACAAAGAAGTTCAGTCATGTCCACTGCTTGTCGTTTAATCATTGGAAAGTGTGTTTTCAGTGAGACTTGGCTTTATCAGTGATTTTTGTACTCAGTTGGAAGCGATCCACAGCAGTAGATATGACCGTTTGATTTAAAATGGTGTTCTTGTATTAAAATTAAATATTCTTTAATAGCTTAATTGATGGCAATAAAAGGTTTCTATGTTAAAATTTCTGGGACCATTTGACTGTTTCTGTTAATGCATCGGTTTGGTCTGAAATGTCATTCCTGTTGGTCTTAAAAGGTCTTTTTTTAATTTAACTTCCTGAAACCTGCATGAACCCTGATTCAAGTTTATGGAAACGTTTATAAAAGTAGCATATTCCATAAAATATTGTTCAGTGACGATGTCCTAAAATGGAGTCCTACTTTTTAAATCACTGCTGACCTAATTCCCACTCCCCCTCCGGTATGTCTAAGGTTTTCCATGTACCGCTGGAGGAGCGCAAGTACAAGGACATCACTCAGTTTGGGGAAGGAGACCAAGCGAAGGTCTGTGTGGACATCATGCAGAAGACCGGCGCCCACCTGGAACTCTCCTTGGCAAAAGATCAGGGTCTCTCCATCATGGTTTCTGGAAAACTGGAAGCTGTGATGAAGGCCCGGAAGGAAATCGTGTCCCGACTGCAGACTCAAGTAAGATTTCATCGTAGCTTAGAAACCGACGTGTTCATGTACTGAGACAATGACGGCCGTTTCGATCCCAACAGGCTTCAGCTACTGTCGCCATCCCTAAGGAGCACCATCGTTTTGTCATCGGCAAAAATGGGGAGAAACTTCAGGAGCTGGAGCTCAAAACCGCCACCAAAATCCAGATCCCACGACCTGACGATCCCAGCAACCAGATTAAGATCTCTGGTACGAAGGAGGGCTTAGAAAAGGCCAAGCATGAGATCCTGTTGATCTCTGCTGAGCAGGTAATTTGGCTTAAAATGTCACTTCCGTATGAGATGCTCTTCAATCACTGTAGCATTTTGTTTTAATCATCCTGGCCTGTTCCACTCTTCTTTTAGGACAAGCGTGCTGTGGAGAGGGTGAACATCGATAAGGTGTACCACCCCTTTATTACTGGCGCCTACAACAAGCTGGTAGGAGAGATGATGCAGGAAACCGGTGCTCGCATTAATGTCCCCCCTCCAAGCGTTAATAAGACTGAGATCGTCATCACTGGGGAAAAGGAGCAGGTGGCCCTTGCTGTGGCTATGATCAAGAAGATCCATGAAGAGAAGGTATGTAACAAATGTTACAATTCTTCACTTGTTTTTAAAATGTGTCTTATAGCAACCTGTTTCCTGTTGTAGAAGAAGAGTACCACCACCATCGCAGTAGAAGTGAAGAAATCCCAGCACAAGTATGTGATCGGCCCCAAGGGAAACACCCTGCAGGAGATCCTGGATAGAACTGGTGTTTCGGTTGAGATCCCACCTTCTGACAACAGCTCAGAAACTGTCATCCTTCGCGGGGAGCCGGACCGTCTGGGTCAGGCCCTCACTGAAGTTTACGCCAAGGTAAAATCACGCTTCTACGTCTCTGAATTCTTACAGAAGCGAGAGGAGAGGGAGTGGTAATATTAAACTCGTTGTGTTTTCAGGCAAACAGTTACACTGTTTCCTCGGTCTCGGCTCCTTCTTGGCTTCATCGTTTCATTATCGGCAAAAAGGGGCAGAATTTGGCAAAGATCACCCAACAAATGCCCAAGGTCTGATCAGCTGGAAACTTAAACTTATTGCTTTTCTTGAACTGTAATTAAACTTGTATGTTCCTGTTTTTGACTATAGGTTCACATTGAATTTACTGAAGGAGAAGATAGGATCACTTTGGAGGGTCCAACCAAAGACGTACAAATGGCTCAGGGTCAGATTGAAGTCATTGTTACAGATTTGGTAAGCATAACTGTTTCATTATCTTCTGCTTTCTCCTGAGTCTGGTCTCAGCCACCTCTTCCAGCTCCTCTGGGAAGATTCAAGGCATTCCTAGGCCAGAAGAAATCCTCTTCAGTGTGTCCTGGGTCTTCCAGGAGGCACCTCCCTAGAGAGGTGTCCAGGAGGCATCCTTGCCATATAAACCACCTCAACTGGCTCTTCTAGATGTGGAGTAGTAGTGGCTCTACACTGAGTATTTCACAGGTAACTGGACTTCTCTATTTGTAAGGAAGAGTCCAGCTACCCTGAGGAGAAAACTAGTTTCAACTGCCTGAATCTGGGATCTCATTCTTTCAGTCTCTACCCAAAGTTCATGACCCCAGGTGAGGGTAGGAATGTAAATAAACTGGAAAATCTAGAGCTTTGCTTTTTGGCACAGCTCTCTCTTCACCACGACAGGCTGCAACACTGCAGAAGTTTCACTTTTATTTATTAATCCTTTATTTTACTAGGTGAGATCCATCTACCAATTAGGGATAGGTATTGTGGTGGAACTAATACTTTTCGGTTTAAGCCAGTAATTCATGAAAACTTAGGTAATAAAGTATGTCATGAATTACTGGCTTAAACCTAAAAGTATTAGTTTCATCACAGGTATTGTTAAGGTTTTATCGATACTACTACTACCACCACTCTTATCGATCTGGTGTTTTAACGTTTCTCTTCTCGATACTTTTCTATTGGAATAAAACCAGTGTTTTCCCCCAAGGGAATTGGGGGTGGCGGGGTTACGCCAAACAAAAAACAAACAAAACTAATGCACGTAATCACGTGCATTAGTTTTGTTTGTTTTTTGTTTGTTTTTTGTTTGTCAGCTTTGGTGACACAGAATATGAACCATTTTTCATCCTTTTTTTCTTTTCCTCCCAAGTTTGACAATATAGAACTTACAATAAAACCACTTATTCTTTAATTTGTGTTTTAACTACACTAACCTCGAGTCATAATGTAAATCTTGTCTTCAAAACACGTCTTCAGATACAGAACAGAAGTTCAGTTGCTTTGTCTTTTTTCCTTTTAATTTTCCATGTCCTTGGTGACTGATAATCCACAGTAAAATATGATGGTAACGTCAAGCGATCGCGAATAGCATCAATGCTAAAGTTACTCAATCAATTCTTATCGATCCTGTCAAAATTCATCACGTGGAACCAGTACTGAAAATACTGGTTTTCGGTACCATCCCTACTACCAATCCCTCTCTCATGAACAAAACTCGAAGATACTTTAACTCCTCCACTTGAGGCAGAACCTCACCCCCAACCTGGAGAGAGCAATCCACCCTTTCCTGACTGAGGACCATGGACTCAGATTTGGAGGTGCTGGTCCTCATCCCAGCTGCTTCACTCTGCTGTGAACCGTTCCAGTTAGAGCTGAAAATCACTGCACGATGACACAAACAGAACCACATCATCTGCATATAGAGAGAATCCTGAGGCCACTGAACTGGATCCCTTCCGCCCCCTGGCTATATTGAGAATTTCTGACCATAGGAGTTGGGAACAGAATCGATGACACTAATGCCTTCTTCAGATCCCCAAAACTCATCTAGACTGGATTATTCCAATAGTGTAGAACCCAGAACATGACAAATGCCTTCATGTAAAGAGCTTGTGCTATGAAAAGTAAAATATGTCAATTATTTTTAACAGGTAAGCCGAATGGACTACACAGAAATCACTGTGGACCCTAAATTTCATCGTCACCTGATTGGGAAAGCAGGCGTTAACAGTAAGTGTTTTTCATCGGATCGTGTGTGTGTGTGTGTGTGTGTGTGTGTGTGTGTGTGTGTGTGTATTTCAGCAGTGTAGTAAACTCTTATTTCCTCACAAACCTTTTTAGTCAACCGCATCAAAGAGCTGCACAAGGTGACCGTCCGTATCCCCCCTGACAACGAGAAGAGCAACCTCATTCGTATAGAGGGGGACCCCCAAGGTGTGCAGGAAGCGAAGAGGGAGCTGCTAGAGCTCGCGTCACGCATGGTTGGTTCAGATTCAAGTCCACTTGCACGTTGATTTCCCACAATGCTGTACGTCACTTTTAATATTGCGTCTTGACAGGAGAACGAGCGTACAAAGGACTTGATAATCGAACAGCGTTTTCACAGAGCCATCATCGGCCAAAAAGGGGAGAAGATAAAGGAAGTGCGGGATAAATTTCCAGAGGTCGGTCAGGGAAACGATGGGTATTGGTTGGCCTGATTGTTTGTTCTGTAGTGAACCTGACCTTATTTTATGACTTGTTCAGGTCATCATCAACTTCCCCGACCCAGCACAGAAAAGTGACATCGTTCAACTCAGAGGCCCGAGGACAGAGGTGGAAAAGTGTTCCAAGTTTATGCAGAAGATGGTTGCGGAAATGGTAAAATTTGTTGGATTTTTTTTTTTTTTTTTTTTTTGTTTTTCAATCCAGTAGCAAAGTGTTGATGGTATGTTGTGACTTGGCGCTATATAAATAAACTTGACCTCCAC